AAGAACTCACTCTCTTTGTCTCTCTTTTTCTCTCTGTAACTCTGAGTTTCAAAAATAAAAAAAATAAATCTTTTAAAAAAATTGATGAGTTTTTATTTTGGCTCTTCTTTCTTTGTTTTCCTTTTCAAAATGCTTTTGTTTGTAGGTTTTTGTTTGTAAGTTAATTCTTCTTTAATATTGATGAACCAAGATTTGTTGGCATTAGGTTGGCATTTAATGATATTTGAAGGAAATAAGTTCTTAACCCTATTAATTCTTGTTTCATTTTAAGAAATTCTATGACACATTCCTAGAAACAAATTTTTATAATGTTCTATACATGATTGTGTGCAAATGGATGGTTAAAAGTTCATTGGCAGTGTCATTTGTTTTCTGTTTTAGGGACTTCACTGTGACTTTGCTTGCCTGATGTTTCAGTATTTAGTAAATAAGCCTTCAGAAGAGAGGGTCAGAGAGATCATTGTTAATGCTGTCGAAATTGAGCAGGTAAGCAAAGTCCCTGCAGGTAGCACGTTTTTGTTTGTTTGTTTTTCCCCTGATATTTGTACCATTGTGTTAGGTTAATCAGGAAATTGTCATTTTGTAGCAATTTTATTTTATTTTTTTCTGGGCAAGCCCTTTAATGAATGAATACTGTTATGGACAATGTCAAAAGTCCTTGTTATGTAGAAGTACTGCTCTATGTCGAGAGAGCAATTCTCCAGTTGTCCACGACAGCGGGGGAGGGGTTCAGGGGCAGTGGGGGCTGGAGGATGTCTCTGTAATGCCACGGTCAGACTCACACATCCGACCCAGCTAACTCCAGTCCTAGAAGTCACTATAAGCATGGCATAGCAGGAAGGGGACCCGGGGTGAGGATGACAGGTGCTGCCCTCCAAAACCCATCTCCCAGTCTGTTTTGTCACTGTCGGGAGGGTTGGACTCAGTGGCCAGGAAATGAGCCAGGCCGCTTCCCCTGGACGGTGGGAGAGTGGCCAGTGTCAGTGCCAGGGCTGACAGTGGCCTCTCTCTGCTGGAGGCTCTGGGCGCATGTGGCGGCGCCGGCACCAACGCACTGGCAGTCTGGGACAAGTTGCTACGCTGTCTGGGCCCCGCCCCCCTCCCACTCTCCCTGTGCACTGGGGATCAGCGAGGACCAGACCTCCCTCCTAGGACTGTCACAGAGGCTCCTGTGTCCACGGGGCTTACAACGGGGGTGACTGCAGGTGGCAGGCGTGGGTGGTTGTCCTGCGTGTCCCCTGCCATTCCCTCTGCACTCTGCTCTCTGGTCTCCATACTCAGGCCACGTTCTTTTCTTTTCTTTCTCTTCTTTCTTTCTCTTCTTTCCTTTCTTTCTTTCTTTTTTTCTTTTCTTTTCTTTTCTTTTCTTTTCTTTTCTTTTCTTTCTTTCTTTCTTTCTTTCTTTCTTTCTTTCCTTTCTTTCTTTTCCCTCCCTCCCTCCCTCCCTCCCTCCCTCCCTCCCTTCCTTCCTTCCTTCCTTCCTTCCTTTCTTTGATTGATTGATTGATTGATTGATTTGAAAAGCAGAGTTGTAGAGAGACAGACAGACAAAGACAGGGAGAGAGGTCTTCCATCCGCTGACTGATTCCCCAAATGGCCGCAACAGCTGGAGCTGGGCTGATGCTAGGCCAGGAGCCAGGAGCTGCTCTGGGTGCCCCCCGTGTGTAGCAGGGGCCCAAGCACTCGGGCCACCTTCCACTGCTTTTCCCAGATGCGTTAGTGGGGAGCTGGCTTGGAAGTGGAGTAACCGGGTCACGAACTGGCACCCGCATGGTTAACCTGCTACACCACAGTACCAGCTCCTCAGGCCACATTTAACCAGGGGCCCCCGTATGCCCCCAACCCCCTTCCTAAATCCCACCCCCGGAGTCTGATGGGATGCCCCAGCATGGACGGGAGAGGGAGTCCAGCCTTGTGACTGGGGAGGCTGAGAGAGGCCAGGGCTTTGCTCACTGTCCCTGCATCTTGGCGTTGGTGCCAAGACCCATGCTGCCCGGCACAGCACTGAGCCAGAAGCCAAGGCCCTGTGGTCTCCCCCAGAGGGCTCCCCGGGTCCCCAGAGCAGGTGCTTCTTAGAGCCTATCCTCTAAACTATGGCTAAGAGTTCCCACAGCCAGGGCCACCTGTCTCCCCTCCCTCCCAAGACTGCCTGCCTGTCACCCAGCGTCACCCCGATGCCTGCTCCATGCTCAGTGCTGCCTGGCCCCTCCCCCGTCAGCTCCCAGGAGTGTGGCAGGATCAGTACTCCCCGGGCCACCCAGTGTACAGAGAGGCCGCAGGCATGCCCAGGTTCACCCTGGCCTGTTCTCAGTTCTCTAGGACATGGACAGTGCCCTGCCCTCCAGCAGTGGGGGATGGGACTCAGCTGCCTCCCCCTCACTGCTGGCCTGTGCCTCGCCATCCTCGCTTTCCACCTGGTCGCCTCTCGCCTCTCCGTTCAGCTGACCAAGGACTGAGTAGGGCACATGTGCCCCCTGCCAGCCAGGGCCTGGCCACAGGGGATGCCCCCTCTTCCCCATGAACGGGGGGAGCAGCGGCCGGCGCCCCGGGCGAGCCGTAACCTGCATTCTGGTTCATTCCCTGCAGGGCATGAGCTCCGTGTTCTTCAACAAAGGTGAGAACTGCATCGCCGCGGGCCGGCTCTTCGTGGAGGACTCGATTCACGACCAGTTCGTGCAGAGGGTGGTAAGTTCTGTCTGGTTTCGGAACTGCTGCTTCTGCAGGAAGGGAAACCGGGCAGGGGTCAGGAACCCTCCCTCCTCTCTCCTCCCTCCTCAACCCCGAGCGGGGTCACCGTCCACCTGGGTCAGGGGACTTTAAGGACAGCTGTACTGGGCCATCCCTGGTTCAGCAAAAGCAGCAGCCCTGTGCTCAGATTGGCCTAACCATAAAGGTTATGGCACGGCCTGGGCTCCCAGCCAGCCTTGATGCAGGCAGCGATGCCGGGGGGTGCAGCTCAGCTGCAGCGGGGAGCCCCTCCCCCAGGGCCTGGAGAGCTGGGGCTCCATGGAGGTGAACAGGGAATCACCACCTGTGTACACAGCTCCAGCCTAGGAAGCCGGCCAGGAAGAAAGGGCTGTGTGCTAAGGCCGGGGTGGCGTGGCTCTTGGGATGGTATTCACGGAGAAGGCCGGGTGCTGGATCTTTGCAGTGTGGGGTGGAGGTGGGGGGAAGGCAGTAAGGAAAAGGGAGAACTTTCTAGAAGGGCCTGTAATCACGTTTGCCATGGAATCTGGGCCGGCCCGTGACTTGCTGTGGCCAGCAGAATGTGCTGGAAACAGGGTTTTGCGAGTTCACTGCTGGGAGTCCTGCCATGGTCGTGTGTGAACAAGCCCCAGGGCCAGCCAGGTTCAAGGGAAAGAGAAACGGATGGCACGGTGCTGTGAGGCACCACCAGGGACACGTCCAGGCTGTGACCTGTGGCCAGGGCGCTGGGCAGCCTGACCAAGCGGGTCCTGTTGTTCCAACTTTCGGAAGCACTAAGGCACCCTGGTGGGATGAACAGAGCAGGTGCCGAGTCCTCCATGCTTCTTGGGGGAGGGGGCTGTGGGAGGGTGCAGAGCTTGAAGGGGGTCAAGTGCTCAGAGGAGGAGGAAGAAGAGAAAGAGGAGGAGAAGGTGGCGGCCGCCAGTCCACCATGACCCTGATGTGGCTGAATGGGGGTGGGCATGACCTTGTCTGACCTTTGGAAACCAAGGCAGGAGCCAAGGAGAGACGCAGAGGAAGGGGCAGAGGCAGATTCCAGCCTGGAGCCCAGAGGGCCTGGCCCCGGCTCCTGGTGGGGTTCGTCTGAGATGCTGTCCTTAATGTGTCATCGCATATCCCGGTTCATCTGACACCCCCTCCCCAAACTCCAGGATGGCGAGGTGATTTCTGTGATGGGAGACACGCAGGCTGGCAACTCAAGGCAGCAAAGCCTGGACCAACTTCTGTTGGCTGAGGCAGCAAGGAGGGCTTCTTGGAGGAGGGCTTTCTTTCTTTTTTATTTTTTTTAGTATTTTTAAAAGACATATTTATTTATTTGAAAGGTAAGAGATATAGAGAGAGAAGGAGAGAGAGAGACAGCGAGAGAATCTTCCATTTGCTGGTTCACTCCCCAGATGGCTGCAAAAGCCAGACTGGGCCAGGCTGAAGCCAGGACCCAGAACCCAGGAGCTCCATCTGTGGGTGTCCCACATGGGTGCAGGGGTCCAAACACATGGGCCATCCTCGGCTGCTTTCCCAGGTGCATTAACAGGGAGCTGGATTGGAAGTGGAGCAGCTGGGAATCCAACCAGTGCCCATAGGGGTTGTTGGCCCCACAGGTGGAAGCTTAACCTTGTACACCACAGTGCCAGCCCCAGAGGCTTGGCGGTGGGAGGCAGGGGCCTGTGGTTTAAAGATGGGTTTTGGAACAGGCAGAAGCAGTGGCAGGGACGCATGGATTTGGGCCTCAGGTCCCTCCCTTCCACCTAATGTCCATCTATTTGGTCAGCTGCAGCTGTTACAGAAAGACCACTCTGTACCCACCCTGTCCTTCATCCTGGAGTCTTTGGGACAAGGCTTATTTGTTCTATTTGGAAGGCAGAGTGACAGAAAAGAGAGAGAGAGAGAGAGAGAGAGAGAGAGAGAGAGAGAGAGAATCTTCCATCTGCTGATTTACTCCTGAAATGACCACAATGGCCAAGACTGGGCTGGACCCAAGCCAGGAGCCTGGAACTCCATCCGAGTCTGCTATGTGGGTGGCAGGGACCCAAGCCCTCAGGCCATCCTCCACTGCTTTCCCAGGCGCATTAGCAGGGAGCTGGATCAGAAGCGGAGCAGCTGGACGTGACCTGGCGCCCATAGGGCATGCTGACTATGCGAGTGGCGACTCAACCTGCTGTGCCACAGCGCTGGCCCCTGCACAGTTCTCCCGGCTTCTGGGCCTGTGGATCTGGGGGCAGGATGGCATCAGCCTGCCCGCCTGCCTGCGCTGAGCCGGCCCCGCCCTGGCTCACACACACCTGCCCTTCTCTCCCCTCTCCTGCATCCCTGCCCGCCCTGTTTCCCGGCCCCTCCATCCCTAGTCTTGGGTCTTCCTGAGAGATGTCCATCCGTACCTTTGCCCACAGGAGGCCTTGGGGTTTAGCCTGGAAGCTGGGTTTGGAACCCAGGTTTGGGGGACCCTGGGAGTTCAAAAGCAGCACTTGCAGTCCCTTCAGGGGACAGCGGTGGGCATGGAAAATGCAAATGAGGGAGGCAGTTCCGGGGGCCCCTGTTGCCAGCAGCCTGACTGGAGCCCCTTCCGCAGGTGGAGGAGGTGGGGAAGATGAAGATCGGCGACCCGCTGGACAGGGCCACCAACCACGGGCCACAGAACCACCAGGCCCACCTGCGGAAGCTGCTGGAGTACTGTCAGCGAGGCGTGCAGGAGGGCGCCACCCTGGTGTGTGGGGGCGGCCAGGTGCCCCGGCCAGGTCAGTGGGAGGACTGTGGCCGCTGGGGGAGGGGCTGCAGGCCAGGTCCCCCGCACATAGTCAGGCCTCGTCTGGGACCTTGGGTGCGGTGGGCCTAGGACACCTGCCTGACCCTGCAGGGCTGTACCAGCTGCCCACACAGAAAGCCCTACTCGGTGCTGGTTTTAACCAGTATCGCCCATGGGTTTTGATTTTAACACCACTGCACCCTTGAAGTTCTCACTCATGGATTCCGTGACACCTGACTTCATGATTTTCCTTCCATTTCTTTAGCTCTTACTTCTTGCTTTTTTGGAAAAAAAAATTTAAAAGATTGATTTATTTGATAGGCAGAGTTACACAGAGAGAGGGAGAGACAGAAAGAGGTCTTCCATCCACTGGTTCACTCCCCAGATGGCTGCAATGGCCAGGACTGGGCAAGACCAAAGCCAGGAGCCAGGAGCTTCTTCCGGGTCCCCCATGTGGGTGCAGCAGCCCAAGGTTTGGGCCATCTGCTGCTTTTCCCAGGCCATAAGCAGAGAGCTTGTTTGGAAGTGGCACAGCCGGGACTCGATCCGGTGCCCTTATGGAATGCTGGCTTAACCCACTGCAGCACAGTGCTGGCCCCAGCAGTTGCTTTTTGGTAGAAATTCCATCTGCACCTGCTCCTTTCCTGAGCTTGGGGCCATGCTCATGGCAGCTGCTTTCCCTGGTGGGCCTCACCCCTCTGTGAGGGCTCAGAGCCTTCCAGATATGCATCACTAGGCTTCAGCCCACCCAGAGCTCATGACCACACAGCTGCCAACTGGATACGTCCACCTGGATGTAGTGCTTCAAACTTCCCAGTCATCACCGCGTCCCAGCCCAGCCTGGCCTCATGCACACACACCTGCCTCTCTAGAACCCTCTGTCCAATCAGGCGAGTTCTTCCTCATTACTCAGCCTGCCCGAGGGCACACGTTGCCTTCACCCCTGGGTCCTCCATGCCTCGCACAGAGGAAGCTCGAGAGGAGTGAAGAGGGGAAGGGAAGAAGAATCCCGGATGTGTGTTCTTGTGCGACCCTCTGTGTCTAATGCATTGCCGGGGTCGGTTCCACCTGCAACTCTGTCCTGCTCCTCGCCTCTTCTGCACCTGCCACCCTGGTGCCCACTCTCCATGTCTCGTTCTTCACCATCACCGTGGCCTCCTGAGTGTGCTTGTGAGCCCAGCTAGCCCTTCCCTCCTGCCTCCATGCAGCTCACCCCCAGACCTTTGCCCCCGAGGTCTTCTGTGCTCTATGTCTGACTTGCCCTTGGCCGTCTTATCATCATATTTAACTCCCCCTGAATGCTTCTCCTGTGTTCTCACTCTCAGGACATTGGCTGCTCCTCTGCTTAGCAAGCACGCCCCCTACTCATCACTCAGTGCCAAGAATGGCCAAGCACAGGGCACGCCTCTGCCCGAGGTGCCCCTGCCACCTCACACCCAAGCAGGGTGTTTATAACCACCGTGCTGCCACCGCCTCTTCCCCCCTTCCCTGCCCCCTGCAGACCAGGAGTTCCATGGGGCTGGTATGATCAGTCTAAGAGGACATGGCGGGGGCAGGGTTCAGGAGCTAACGGGAGAGGGTGTAATGAAGGCGCTGTCCACAGAGCAGGGCTGCAGAGCCTGCAAGGAGCCAAGACCAGTGGGGAGCCTGGGGGATAGGCATGAGGAGGGCACAGGATTCCTGGACCTGGGAGGGAGCAGTGCACGGGCCAGGGGCTGCCTCCTGTTGGCCAAACCCAACTAGAAGGATGAGCGAGCCTGGGCATAGAGTCCACATGGCAGGGCCAGTGCAGGGCAGAGCCGCAGGCAGGATGACCCTGCGTGGCCACAGCTCAATACCCCAGTAGCTGGTGGGCAGCAGTGCCAGACTGCCCAGGGAGTGCCCGCCACTCCACATAGAGCAGCATGCATCAATGCAAGGTTCATAGGTTTTAAAACAGTAGTCATGTTAAATACAGTTTCTAAATGTTGGGAAAATAGTCACTGTTTCATTGATTTCATTACTTCTCTGGGGTTTTAAATTGTTTTTGTAAAACTAGAGAGAGAGACCGTCAAGTTTGTTGATTTCTCCAGAATTAAATGGCGGTGCAGCAGGGTCCCAGGGCTCCCAGGCTCTGGCCAGAGAAGTGGTCCCAGAAGGCATTTCTGCCATCAGAAGTGGTTCTGTCCCGGCCTCCAGGGCAGTGTGGGGTTGGGGGTGACCAGTCCACCCTTCCTGACTCTGTCCTGGTGGAAGCCACACACCTCTGACCACAGAGCTCGGCTCCCGGCTCCTCAGTTCCAAGAAGAGAGGCTGTCCTTGGAGTTCCTGCCTCCCCTCCCCAGGCTCCTGTGTGCAGCCCCTCCCCCACTTCCTCCTAGACAGTGGGCCGCAGCCAGGACCCATGGGAGAGCCCTCTGGGAGGCTGCACTTGCTGCAGAATCTAGACAGATGTCCCTAGAAAGATCCAGTTCTTCCTCACAGGCTTTGGGTCCACAGCTCAGCTCCCTCCCCTGCCATCAGTCTCAGTGTCCACTACAGTCCACTCCTTAAAGGGGTTGGGGGAGACATGGCAGGAAAGCCAGCCACGGCGTGGCGCTGTGGCACCGCATTCTTGGGGCAGGAAGTGACCCAGGCCCGCCCCGGGGTGGGGGACTGGGCCCTCCCGTGTGCCACAGGCCTCTTCTCCCCTGCAGGCTTCTTCTTTGAGCCCACTGTCTTCACGGATGTGGAGGACCACATGTTCATTGCCAAGGAGGAGTCCTTCGGGCCCGTCATGATCATCTCGCGGTTTGCTGATGGGTACGGAATGCTGCCTGCGTCCCTCAAGGGCCCTCCCTCCCTCCCTGTGCCATCGGGGTCTTCCCGAGAGCTTGGGAGGGGGGCTCACGCACGGCCAGGAAGAGAACTCAGTGTTGCTCAACCTTGGCGGGCTGTGATCCCTCCCCCGCCCCCTGGTGAGCCCTCCATGGTGACCAAGGGGGCTTCAAGTCCCGCCATGAGCCGAAGGCAATGCCCCCTCCCTCTCCCCTCCCCGCTCACCACGCTCTCCAGGTGTCTTTGAGCCTTCTTACAGCACCCCGAGCCCCGTGTCACTGTGCACTAAACCTCCCCAGAACTGCATGGCTTGGAATAGCAGCGGGGATTTGTCTCAGAGAGCACTCCGGTCTCGCCTGCGCCTCCTGCAGGCTGTCTCTGGCATTGTAGCCTCTGCGTTGCTGGCTGGCACGTGGTTCCTCCACGTGGAGGCCCCGGTGGGAATGGAAGGTTCCTTAGGATCTGACCTCAGAAGTCCGGGTAGCTCCCTCCTGCCCTGCGATTGAGCGGGGCCAGGCTGGGCCAAAGAGAAGGAATCGGACAACTCCACTGGAGCTCTTTGGCTGCCTTTGACCTTGCCAAGGTTAATTCCCTGGTTACTACTATTGTCCAGGCCGGCCCCCTGGGTGTCTATGGCACCATTGAGCAAATGACAAATGGTGCCTCAGCCTCACGTTTACCACCCACTGGCACACACGACAGTAAGCGTGTAAGCGTGTGTGGATCTTACTGGAATGAGACACTTGACCACTGTCTAACAGATAAGCATCGTAATATGCCTCCAGTCCCCCGATGGCCGGTGATCACCCAGCCAGCCGCTCTCTGGGCTCCCGTGCCTATCTGTGAAGTGAGGGGCTGCCCCTGCTCTGGCTCTCACTCTCGCTCTCTGCCTGCCGCCTCTGGATCTGTCCTGTCTCCCCCAGATTTGCTTTAACCTGGCACGTTTGTCTTCTGTGAGGTTTTGCATGGCAGGGAGCGTGGAGCGGGCCAGATCCCCATGGGAGAGGGGGTGCTGGTCTTTGTGTACCCTCCCCATCCGGGGCTGGGCCCCCTGAGCCTCCCTGGGTTTTCCCTACAGGGACATAGATGCCGTGCTGTGTCGGGCCAACGCCACGGAGTTCGGCCTCGCCTCTGGCGTCTTCACCAAAGACATCAACAAGGCACTGTACGTCAGCGACAAGCTCCAGGCGGGCACAGTGTTCGTCAACACCTACAACAAGACGGACGTGGCTGCTCCCTTTGGAGGATTCAAGCAGTCGGGATTTGGCAAAGACCTGGGTGAGTTCATCCCGCCTGGGGGCCGCTTTGGCTGATTCGCTCAGTGGACACCGGTTCAAAGCCGCTGGGGGCCAGGCTCTGTCCCATGATCCCTGGGGCTTGGTGCTCGCTCCCTATTAGGCGGGAGCAAGCGATAATTCAATCAGGGAAGAGTGTTGGGAAGAGAGCCAGGGGGGCTTCTCTGAGGAGGTGGCACCTGAGCAGGGACCCAAGTGGTCACGAAGACCTGAGCGTGCAAGTTCCCAGTGGGCGGAGCCAGCCTTGGTCTTGGGACCACAAAGAGGCTGGTGTGGTCTAAGGGGGAGACAGAGAGGCAGGCAGGGGCTGGATCTTGGGAACCTGAGGCTGTGGTTAAGGCTCAGGCTTCATCCCTGGGGGATGCTGTGGGGGCAGAGCATGCCCCAGGAACCGGGAGGGCGTCATGAGTCTGCAGCATAGAGATGCTGTCAGCAAGGCGGCAGCAGGTGGGATCCCCGGGTGTGCACAGGCTGAGCACACACCCAGCAGCGGCCGCACCTGCCAGATAGCCGGCAGCTTGGTTCCAGCAGCCTCCTTCCCTGGGCTGCCCTTGACCTAGGCCTTGCTTGTCCTGGTCTCTCTGTCCTGCCGCTGTGGAGGCTGGCAGTTGGGACCACACAGGCATGATAGGCAAGCTTGACTGGCGGGCAGCAAGGTCGGGATGGAGCAGCCACGTGCTGTCTCTTGGGAGCATCGGCCTTTCTCTTGAGCGCCTGTGTCAGCTCAGGGACCCCGGGGAGGGCAAGCAGAGGCTAGACTCAAGGATGCTCACGAGTTCACTTTCGCGCCGTCTTCCAGCTTTCAAGCCCTGCAGAAGCCCCTAGGGCTTGTGGCCTCCCTGGGCCAGGGCTGAGAACCGAGCTGTGCAAGCAGCCTACCTGGACATGCGAGAGGCCTCGGGGGGTGTGGCGGTAGCATTTAGGGAAGGGGCGTGGCTGGTGGGGGAGCTCTCACACACGCTGGTCATTGGCTGAAACGCACAAGCCACAAAGCACAGATGAGTTTCAGGGTCCCCGTTCCCAGTCACCTCTGGATCTGGAGGTAGTGGGGACAGCAGCAAGGGGAGGAAGTGGGCTGGCGTGTCCGGGTCCCAGAGCTTCCCGTGGCCTGATGAGGTGCTGTGGGCCGGGGAAGGTCCTAGAACAGTGGTCTTATTCTCCTGCCTGTGGTGGAATCTTGGCCCGCCGCCCACAGCCAGGGATACCTAGGAAAGACATGTGATCTACCCAGGCCCCGGCTTCCTGTCTGCACATGGGTGAGCCAGGGTTCCCTCCCATGGTTGACCAGGCGTGCAGTGAGGTGGTTAAGCGTGCAGCACCTGAGCACGCAGTCGCCATGACCACGATGTATCCTGTTGCGCGTGGGTTCTTGCAGGAGAGGCGGCCTTGAACGAGTACCTGCGGATCAAGACCGTGACCTTCGAGTATTGAAAGGTCTCCAGCAAGGGAAGGAGCCCTCCTCGCCGCACAGCCTCGTCCTGCCCAGCCCTGACCCGCCCGTCCACGGGGAGGCCCCGCACTGCCTCCCTGGAGCCCAGGACACCTGCTCCCCAGCCGGGGCCAGCCCTCCTGTCTGCTCCCCCGCCGTCTGCCTGCGGGGCACCCTCTGTCTCGTCAGAAGTGGCTCTGGATGAATAAAGATTGTAATCAGAGGCAGCCCGCACCCCCTGTGCGCCTTGGCCTCATCTGTGGGTGCTCCTGGGTGGCCCCGGAAGTCATGACATCACCCTGAGCCCCGGGGCACAAAGAAATGGGTGTGGTCAGCTCCAGCCTCCAAATGCTAGTGCCGAGATGGAGTTAGGGGTGCAAGAGGTTTGGGGGAGCGAAGCTCTCAGAGCGCACACGTGAGGAAGCGAATTTGTAGGCAGAGACCCCGACTAAGGAGCCAGGTCCCTGTCTGTCTCCACCCACTTGGTCCCTTCGAGGGCCGGCCGTGGGCAGTGCTCCCGTCTTGGGTCTTCTGGGTTTTCCCTGTGACTTGCCCTTGTCCCCTGCCACGGTGCCACCCCCACACCATGCCCACTGCCCTCTTGGGAACCCAGGGCCCTCCCCTCTGCACACTCCTCCCCCAGGTCCCGAAGAGCAGTCTGACCTACAGAAGTGGGCTCAGTGCCCCCATCCCTGCCTGGCTACACCTCCTGAGTCCCGCGGATGCAGGGTCCTGGCCGCCTGGCCGTGCTGAGTGCCGCCTGGATCCTCTGCACCTAGCAGGGCGCCCTTCTGGGGCCCACAGCATCTGCCTGTGCTATTCCTGTCGGGGCGTGGGCGTCCGTGGGCTTTGGTATTTGCAGGAGGTTCTGGAACGAGTGCCCCACGGGCGGTGAGGACAGCTGGATACACGTCCATGGAAGGCCTGTCTGGATCTCCCCCTCGCAGTGATGGTTACGGCAATAGAAAGCAGCAGCAGGTTTGCTGTGTGTTCACCGTGAGCCAGGCAGGTGCCAAAGCCACAGTCCACATCGGTCCAAAGCTCAGTATCCCGGTGGGGCCAGGGCTGTCCTCATCCTCACTTATGGGCAAGGAGATTGTGGCAACGAGGAGTTTAATTGGCTATCATGGAAATGGTTTTGTTACCCCAAATTAGGATGATTTGGAAGCCCACTGCGGAATAGCTTGCCCCTGTGTCTGAAAGAAGAGGGCGGGGTGGGCGCCTAGCTCCGTGGCTAAGATGCTCCGGCATCCTGCGTCAGAGTGACTTGGTTGGAGTCCCCGCCCCGCTTCTGGTCCCAGCTTCCTGCTAACATGCACCTTGGGAGGCAGCCGGTGATGGCTCCATACCTGGGCCCCTGCCATCCTCACGGGAGACCTGGATGGAGTTCCTGCCTTCAGCCAGGTCTAACCCCCACTTTTACAAAGGTATTTGAACCAGGGGATGGGAGATTTCTCTGTCTCTCTGCCTTTTAAATACTTCAGCATAAATAACATTTAAAATATATACATATTTAAAACGCAATAAGATATATTTGCACACCATTTATTACGCGAACCATTTTTAAGTGTACATCTGGGTGTGGCTAAATACCACCACCAACAAGCCACAGGACTTTTTCCTCTTGAGAAACTAAACTCTTCCAGGCACAGACTTCTCACGTTTACGGCGAACGAGGTGCTTCAGAGAGCAGGGGTTTCACTGCTGGCTCAGCAGGAAAAAGGTGTGCATTTTACTAACGCAAGCCTATGCCGTTTTAGTCTGTAGCACACACCGGCTGAAACACGTGTCGGCCTTGCCATGGTCTGATACCAGCACCAGAGTGCCATTGTCAACATGGTGAAGGCGCCAGAGGCTTCCCAAACCCAGTCACCACTTCCTGGCCTTGTGCGTGTCCTGCAGGCTTCTGCACACAGGTGCCATGGCCCAGGCCTCTCGGGCCCTTGGCTCTATCTTGCAGGAGCAGCCACGCTCACCACCCCAGGAGGTGGCTGACTCCAGGGCTCTTCCCTTGTGCCAGCTCCTCCTCCGCGTGAAGTCAGCATAACCTGTCTCTAGCGACAGGGCCAGGCTCCCTGGGCCTGATGGGGCTCCCTGCACCCCAGGGGTGCCGGAGGGGTGCAGGAGGCTGGCAGCTGCTGGATGCTCACACGTGCTGTCTACCCTTGGGGCTGCCCCTCCTACAACCCCGGCTGGGTCATCATGCTGGGTCCTGGTGTTCCTCCCTCCAGGGAGAAGCTGCCACTTTGCCGAGGCCACCCCAAGTCCACGCCGTGAGCCCTCCAGTGGCTGTGGCCTGTGGGTGATGCAGGGGTGAAGACATCTGGGTCTTGTGCGAGGGTCTCTAGCAGGCAGGGGTGGCACCCGGGCCCTCTACGTCTGCACAGGTAGCGACTGAGCGGCAGGCAGGCTCACAGGGGCCGTGAGAAATGAGCCGCCTGCTTCCCAGCCCCATGTGAGGGCCAGGATGTGTGCAGACGAGTTAGGGAAAGGCCCACCCCGCTTACGCTCCTGTAGCCTCCCTGGTGGCTTCTCAGTGCCAGCCCTGTCTTCCTTCCTGGTGGTTCTCAGCCAGGGTGCACAAAGGCTGGGGTGGTCTGGGCCTGCGGGGGCGGTGCTAAGTTGGAGGCAGGGGTAGGTGTGGACAGAGGCAGGCCTGGCCCCCCTGGAGAGCCACGCGGGTTCCTCTGCTTGCTGGGGCTGGGTCTCTGTTCTCTGCAGAGCTCCACGCAGGAGCCACTGATCTGGAAGAACTCAAACAACAGTTTCCCCTCGCGTGTGAGCTGGAGGCCCACGAATGGCCTTTGTATCTCAGGTGGGGGTGGGTGGGGGCAGGGAGGGAGGTGAGGCACTCTGATACGGGATACCGGTGTCCCAAGTGGCCTCTTACCTGCTGTGCCAAATGCCCACCCAGTATTATATATGAGATTATTCATCCGTCCATCAACTCATCAACAGCTGGATATACAGGAAGGTGTTGTCTTCAGACTTGAAGCAGGGTTTGGATCCAGCTTTGCCGCTCCAGGCTGCATGGCCTTGGGCCAGTGGAACAGCCTTCGGGAGCCTCAGCATCGCCCCCCACGAAACAGGCGCAGAGGAGGTGGGCTGAGCGTCAACAGTGAGAGGCGGGAAGCCCGGGGACCAGAAGAGGGTCCCGGGCGTTACACCTTCATCGTCAACCCTGCACCTGTTCGTTAACATCTGGAAGCAGATGTCCTTGGGCGCTGCAGGGGTCCCTGCTTGGAGCCCTGCCCACACGCCTGCCTCACCCAGTCGCCTGCACCTGCTGTGCCCAGGGCTTTCTCGGAGGGGCCGGGAGACCGTTAGCAACTGCAGACTCACTGAGCACCAAGGAGAACCAGCGTGGAGGCACCCGGCTCTCAGGAAGGGATGGCTGAGTGGCAGGCCAAGGGTGGGTGAGCTTGTGGGAAGAGGCTGATGGCCCTCACTCCAAGGCCACTTTCTAGGGTTGGTGGGGAGCCAGGCCCTGCCCCATTCCTCCCGGAGCAGTGATCTGGGTGAGGTGAAGGCAGAAATCGGCTACTCCATCACCAGGGGCTCTGCCCACCGGCTGTGGAGGGGCAGGGCCAGGCCTCGGCCCACCCTGCTACCACCAAGCAGACAGCCACTGGGGAAGGCAGGGACTGGTTGGGAACCGTGTGGACCCTATGGTGGCACAGGGACAGCAGGAGCCTGGAACAGATGTGAAGAGAGGTGGGAGAAGGGAGAGGCCAGCCCGACAGATGGCCGGCTCTGTTCCCCAGGCCTCCCCTAGTGTTCTGTCCTGGAGTCCAGGAGCTGCTGTGGCCTCTCCAGGGGTGATTTGTCCCATCAGGAAGCTAATGACCGTGACAAACATAATGGCCACCAACACATACTCTCACTCTCTATGAGACCCTGAGCTGGGAGCCTCATGGAATCATCAGCCCCACGAGGCAGGCACTTGTACTATTGTCCCCCACTTCACAGATGAGAAAACTGAGGCTTACTGAGTTTTTCAGGGGAGGCTTGCAGTGAAAATGTTAATCCCCTGCTACGGTGGCTTGGGCACAGGCTGGGCAGCTTAAACACCGAACTGTATTTTCTCACACTTCTGTAGGTGCCAAGGCCAAGACCAAGGTGTGGGTGTGACCGTGTGGTCACTGGTCAGGCCTCTCTTCCTGTGCCACATACAGCTGTCTCCTGGTTGTGCCCTTCCTGTGTGTGTGCTTGGAGAACAGGCTCTCTCTCACACTTCTTCCTAGGAGTCCACTCTCCTGGGCTCAGGGCTCACTCTTACCGCGTCGCCTAACCGTTACCACCTCCTTCATATAAGCCCTACCTCCAAACACAGTCACTGTTGGGCTGTGGGTGAATCTGGGGAGGGGGCACGTTCAGGCCCTGTCTCCTAACATCGTATGGAAGCTCCTCACCCCCAGTGTCTGTTTATGTCTAGCGTAGCCTAACAGCCGATTGCAAAAACTGCTCACTCCAGAGACTCCAGCCAGGCTCTGGACTCTACACCTGCCAATAAATGCCTGCATGGGGTATCATGGGGTATCATTTCTCTTCTGCTGAGGTCACCTGCTCACTGCCACTTACTGCTATGCCTCTGTCAGTTTATTTTTTGTTGCACTGGTGGTAGAAGGCCATGCAATGTTTCTTATACCTGTAGCTATGGCGTGAGCCCACAAACCATGTGTGCAAATATGTGAGGAACTAAAACCAAAGCCCACACATAGCAAAACAGAGGTCATTTTAGTCTTGGCCTTGATAGTTACCTGGGAGACCAGGTTCAAGTGCAGAATTCTTGCACTCTGGAGTTCCGTGTGGCCCTGTGGGAAGGGACAGCCAGAGTTCCCCAACTTGTGTCCACTGCTGATCTGGACACACGTCTTACAAGGGTCTTACACCACTGGTAATTCCCAGGTCCCGGGTGGCCAGAGCATGGTGTAGCAAACTTCAGGTAGGGCTACTGGCTCCTAGTGGACACAACTCCCAGTTTCGTGGGGAGGGGGCACAGACGGGGATGGATGAGGGCTGAAACCCCAGGCCAGGGGAGGTAACTGGGTAGTAGGGAAACAAGTACATGGAGAAGGCTGCACGGCTGCAGAACCATGGGACAAGCCTCGACTGTGTGCACGCGTGCCTGAGCCGGCAGGATACCGACACTCCAGGGCTTGTGATGGGGGTTATGTCCCGAGAACCCAGCACACCTTGAGAAAAGTCAGCGATGCATCAAATGCCCTTTAACC